TACCATAGCGGTTTTCCCTGGATGTAGCTGAATACTCTCATCCACCAATGTTGCAGTGTTGCCTGAATCGGGGCTGCCCTGGGATTTTGCAACCTGAGGTCCGCCTTTTAGCTATTTGATGGTCATCCTGAAAGTTTAAATCCTCATAAAAGACTGAATAACGGAACCTTGAGGTGCTTGAGGAACGGATTCCCTCGAGCCTATCACAATGTCACCATGGGAATGAGACGACGAAAGGTCAGAATGTGAGGGGGAGTGGATCGACTCTTGACCCTATGTGACAGATTACCCCTAGTAATGTCTAGGTATGGCTTCGTACTTCGAACCTCGGTATTGGTGCTCTGTGGGTCTCCGGATGAAGCCTCGACCATTCTTTGGCGTATCATGATGCTGGATGTGAAGATAACGCTTGGCTGTCTGTAGAATTGCTGCGTGGGCCCCTGATAGCGAGGATCGGGCATTGAGAAGACCTGTTTCATGCAACGACAGCATAGGTCAAGTGGTAGACCAAGGTACTGATGCCAGGCGCGGCTATCTCGGTTCAAGTTTTACAGACCATCTCTTTTGGCTCGTCTACGTCGTTAATCAATAAGACTATGAGCATGTGAGCATAGGAGGACGTGTGGTTTGTCCTCGCTAGTACAATTCCCCGAGAGCGAGGAAGAAGCGCCAACCCACCACTCAAACCCTCACTCAATACTAGATGCCCATCGTACTCCCTGGCAATATACAACCATCAGTTTTATTCTCAGTCAGCATCAAAAAATACCCTGAGGTATCATTTTTTCCTACTCATATACTTGAGAAAGCCCCCTTATCTTTTGAAGGGCCTTCACTCCGGATCAACATGGACACCCGAGATCAGTTCTCTTTGGACCATACGAGTTACCCAAGCTTGGATGCCTCACCGCAATACCCTTCAGGATATCTTCCTATAGTGGAATACAGGTTTCTTCAAACTGACGTTCAAAACTACGACTTATTCTACGAGCAACCTCCTTCAGCACCCTTTTTGGCAGAACCACCCGAGCCGCCTCCCTCCTCCATATCCTCACCCCCCAAATACCGCACGATCCAACCTCGACCAAGCGCGACGAGCCCCGACGCGAAAAATCCCGGTGATACGCTGCAAATCAAGCCTGGGAAGCGCCAATGGCGGCCACAAGATACAAGCGGCGAGTCAACGTCAGTCCAACTCGAGGCGGGTGTCAAACGCCTCCTTAGCTAACCCTGAGAATGAGAGCTTTGAATTGCCAGATCATTTGACACTTACACGAATCCCAAGGCTGACTCAAGTATCATGAAACTTTAGTTCAAACGACGTACCTTTCAGCCAATGTACGAATTCCGGCCTGTGCTCGAGCAATCAAGAACAATCCTTCGCACCTTACCGACCTTTTCCTTCAAACGACCTTGGAAGCGTGGTGGAGGTTCGATCGCCACTTTTCCTCAACGGTGCTTCCGAAGCTCCTGCCACAGACGGGCCAGCCTGCCACCATTACGCACACTGCTCCCTTGATCCGTCAGATAGACAATTTTCATGTCCGAATGCATCTTTTGAGATTGATCAGAATCAAGATGCCATGAGAGCAGCTTCTATTCAACTCTCGGAACATCTTGAAAGGACCCAAGTCATGCAGTCTCTGAGCATTGTGCAGGATTATATGGCGAGGCATCCTTCGATCTTTGAAGATCAAGCGCCCGATATGATTCAAAGATGGTTAGTGGAAATTGAAAGCGTAGAACTATCAGAATGTATGTCTACGTGAGCGAAAGCAGCGGGAAATTGCGCGTTCTCGACCAAAGTTGCAGGAAGGGTAAATAAGTTCACTAGTTGCTAGAATTTGTTTTGGCCAGCCAGCAGATAACAGGAATGTACTTCCAAGTAGTTCTCAAAATGCCACACTCATCTTTCTATCAGTAGGGGAAACAAAACACAGCCAGCTGTATACCCTGTCCAGCGGGAAAACTTCCCGAGAAATTAATCTACAAATACAGATTCCAAAGTTATCAACATTTTTGCGTTTTGAGGCTGAGAAAGTATGAATTGATACATAAAATGAGTATGACGGCTAATGATTCGTTGACAAGGTGTGTCCTGTCTTTGGTATTCCCCCATCATAAAGTAAACAATGTGATCCAACAGCAGCAATACTATCGAGAATGATCTTGAATTTCGGATTGTGAAAGGGTTGTTCTCGAAGCTCCCTTCATCCACGAATACCCCAGGCTTTCGCATCTTTGAACAACGGCCTCGATAGTCGGATGGGAAATGGCTCGGCTGACTTCCTCATCATGGATCTGTGGCTGATTTTTCTTCAGGCGAGCTGGCAACTCTCCCTTCCTGGTCAATCGTAGAAGCTTGTCCTGAAGACAGATATATGTTTCTCGAGGCGTGAATCGGCGGTTGAAGCTCGTATGTATATCCTTCCATCTTTTTAATAGAACCATGCGATAGTACCAGATGAAGTGCACTTCTTCTTCTTCAGTATATACTATTTTCTGACGCCGATGGAGGAGTGTCGTCACCATGACAGGTTGAATCGTCTCGAAATTGGGGATATCAGCGAGGTGGCGCTCTATCTGTGGAGCTTCGCTTGCATCGTGCACGCGGTTCGACCGTGCTTTAGGGCTTTCATCATCGACGATAGCAGTCGCACCTCTTTGACGACCCGGAGCTGGCCACGTATCTCCCGAAGTCGCAGCTGATTCATCTTGAGAAGCCACGCATCGTCCTCGATCCCTGAAGGAAGCCGATGATGGCTCCTCGGCTTCGATTGTTGGAGCGGATTTGCCGTCTTCTTGGACCGACGATGCTGAAGTGCTTACAGCCAGAAAATTGGCACTCTCAGGGCCTTGAGGCATTTCGTGTGAGATAAATAATAGATTTTGGGGGCTGGTCAGTGTTTGATCGTTCAACAATGAGCTGACCTTCATCAGGTCAGCTGATGCCGATCGCTGTTGAACGAATGAACCTTTAGCCGTCATAATTCTCTCAATGAATAAAAACAACAAAAATAGGGAAATGAGAATAAAGGACAACCTGTTCAAACATCATTTGTTTTATTTTATATCGGGGCACCCGCGATACCAAAGAAAACTAGTAAGGCTCGGGCAGATATTAATGCGGCATCATTACCCGTAACCTGAAACTAATTACATGTAAAAAATATGTATATGAAAAATATTCATCTCTAC